GTGTGTGTGTGTGTGTGTGTGTGTGTGTGTGTGTGTGTGTGTGTGTGTGTGTGTGTGTGTGTGTGTGTGTGTGTGTGTGTGTGTGTGTGTGTGTGTGTGTGTGTGTGTGTGTGTGTGTGTGTGTGTGTGGGGGTGTGTGTCGATGTGTGTGTGTGTGTGTTTGTTGTCGTGGTGAAGGCGGATTCCTCTTGGCCGCTTTCGGCCTCCAGAAAAGGCCGCCCCCACGGACCGTTAAGAACGCCGGGACGGGCGTCGCCTGCCTGGCGTCGTCCCCCACTTTCCGTCGCCGTGTGTCTGGACAAGTGATTAAAACCATCCCCAACCCCAGCGGGGGAACCTCGGCCCCGCATGCCGACTTACCGCCGCCCCCCCTTGGCGGGATAGTTGCCGCATTCCCACCACGACAAGGTACGCAAGGGAGCGCACCCTCACCGCTGTCCCAGCCGGGTTGAGGTGGGGTAATGATGCTCCTCCTCCTCCTCCTCCTCCTCCTCCTCCTCCTTCTCCTCCTCCTCCTCCTTCTCCTCATTCTCCTCCTCCTCCTCCTCGTCCTCCTCCTCCTCCTCTCCTTGCCTCCCTCCTCCTCGTCCTCCTCCTCCTCCTCTTCCTCCTCTTCTTCCTCCTCCTCCTCGATCTTCCCTATCTCCGCCTCCTCCTCCTCCTCCCCCTCCTCCTCCTCCTCCTCCTCCTCTATCTCCTCCCCCTCCTCCTGCATCAACCATGCATACACTTCGCGAGCGCACATTGAAGCTATCTCCAACTGGAACTGGGGGTACATCTGACGACGATAATAGTGGCCTCCCAAATGGGGTTCGAATAGATGCATCGCCGATGCGTCGACGACGCTGGCGATGCATCGGCGCCGTGGGTGCAGAGAAAATCGGACTCCACATCGAGCCGCTTCGCCGCTGCACTTGCGATGCGGCGCGATTCCCCGACCCCATCTGATTAATCGGACCCTATGTGGGAGGCCCAGAGACAAGCTTCGGGCGCGCGGATCCTGGCACACGGCGCACCTCCTGGAGCTGTCCGCTAAGCGGCCGCGCCCGCCCGACTGCCCGCCTGGCTGCCCGCCCGGCTGCCAGCCGCGCTGCCCGCCGCTGGGGCGGCCGCTGCCGCACGCTGGCAGTGCACCACTGGCTCGGGCGAGCCGGCGCAGCACGGCCGCCACCGTCGCCAGCAGCAGCGCCGCAGCGACGGCACTGACCTCACCAGCCTGGAGCTTATCCCTATGCGATCGACAAGCCTGGAAAGGTGATGCCATTCTTGGGGATGCGCCCTCGGCAATCGAGGGAGTTCTCAAGATCGGCATCGAGGTAAGGTGATGTATGCCAATCGTAGGGGTGAAAATCTGTTCCAGGCTGGTAACGACCCGCGCCCGGGCCAGGGCGCTCGGCAGCGAGCGCAGGAGCGCCCGCAGGGGGCCCATCGCGGCCATGGCGCTGGGGGTCGGGCGCTCGCCGCAAAGAAAAACGCCCCCGACTCGGCGCCGGCGGTAGGAATCCAACGTGTATGCAATTTCACCTCCTTTTGACCCCTGGCTCCCCCATCTCCTCCTCCTCCTACTCCTCCTCTTCCTCTTCCTCCTCCTCCTCCTCCTCCTCCTCCTCCTCCTCCTCCTCCTCCTCCTCCTCCTCCTCCTCCTCCTCCTCCTCCTCCCTCCTCCTCCTCCCTCCTCCCTCCTCCCTCCCTCTCTCCCTCCTCCTCCCCCTCCTCCCTCCTCCCTCTCCCTGCTCCCTCCTCCCTCCTCCCTGCTCCCTCCTCCCTCCTCCCTCCTGACTCCTCCTCCTCCTCCTCCTCCTCCTCCTCCTCCTCTCCTCCCCCGAAGTTTGAATATCTCCACTGACGCTGAGGCCCCACCGTCTAGACCCTCGTAGGGCCGTCCCGAGGTGGCCTTGGCTGACCTAGGCCACCGCGTTCCCGACCCGCCCGCCTCGCAGGAAAACAATACTTATAGATCCTCCTCGATCCCCCCCTTCCCCCTTCCCCCTTCCCTCCTCCTCCTCCTCCTCCTCCTCCTCCTCCTCCTCCTCCTCTTCCTCCTCCTCCTCCTCCCCCTTCTCCTCCTCCCACTAAGTTTGAATATCTCCACTGGCGCCGAAGCCCCACCACCTAGACCCTCGTAGGGCCGTCCCGCGGGACGAGCAGGCGCCGCGTCCGCGTCCGTGCCCCCCTCTCCCGGAAAGGAGGACATCATGCAGGGGAGGAGTAGGAGTAGGAGTAGGAGTAGGAGTAGGAGCAGGAGCAGGAGTAGGAGTAGGAGTAGGAGTAGTAGTAGTAGTAGTAGTAGTAGTAGTAGTAGTCGGAGGAGGAGGAGGGAGGAGGAGGAGGAGGAGGAGAGGAGGAGGAGGGTCCTCCGTTCTCAGGAGGAGGAGGAGGAGGAGGAGGGGCCCTCCTCCCCTCCTCCTCCTCCTCCTCCTCCTCCTCCTCCTCCTCCTCCTCCTCCTCCTCTCCTCCTCCTCCTCCTCCTCCTCCTCCTCCTCCTCCTCCTCCTCCTCTGTATGATGCCCTCCTTTCTGGGGGAGGGGGGCACGGACGCGGATGAGGCGCCTGCTCGTCCCGCAGACGCCCCTACGAGGGTCTAGGCGGTGGGGCCTCGGCGCCAGTGGAGATATTCAAACTTAGGGGGGGGAAGAGGAGGAGGAGGAGGAGGAGGAGGAGGAGGAGGAGGCGCAGGAGGAGGAGGAGGAGGAGGAGGAGGAGGACAAAAACAAGGGCATCCGCATAAGGGGGTACAACGTCAGAACACCTACTCAGATGACCTACGCGCTTTTGTCAAAATCCACTGCGATTTGTTGTGCAACCGCCCTGCCTTCTCACTAGGGCCAGCATGGGTAGGAGGAGGAGAAGGAGGAGGGAAGGGGGAAGGGGGGGATCGAGGAGGATCTAGAAGCATTGTTATCCTCCTGCGAGGCGGGCGGGTCGGGAACGCGCTGGGCTGGGTCAGCCAAGGCCACGTCGGAAGCACGCGCGCCGGCCACGGAAAGACTCCGAGGCAGGCCTTTTCCTTTATTACTGGCGGTAACGCCCGTGACCAGCCCCGCCCCCCCACCCCCCCTGGTGACTCCGAAAGGTTTGGTTTGCAATGGGTGCGGTTTGTAACCCGCGCGCTGGGGGGCGTGCGAGGACCTCGACAGGGTTCTCCGCCGCAGCCCGGCGATGCCCGACACGGGCAACGTGGTGGCCCCCGAGCCCCAACGACGCAGATCGCAAACCACACTCAGGCGTAAGAGCACCCTTTGTGGTCGCCGACCCCCTCCCCCCCTTGTCACGTCACGATTCGCGCCGGCGCCGTGTGGATTCCCAGACGGCGCCGGCGATGGCGCGAATCGTGACGAGACCGGCCCTCTCCTTCTCTCCCTCGGTCACGCCAGTTTTCGCCAGAGGATGCAAGACGGCTTCGACCTGGGTCAGGGGAAGGGTGGTCGGCACCAGCCAAGTAGCTCCCAAGCCTGGGCGAGCCAGAGGGTCTCGGCGGGGAGTTGTTGACCCCAATTGGTGCTGACCCCCGTCATGTGGGCCCCGAGTTGGGGCTAACCTCCATCCACGGCCTCCCTCCTCCCTCCTGGGGATGCAGCAGGCAATCAGAGGTGCGCGTGACGCGCTCGAACAATCGACAGACGGGCGAGCGAGGGTGCCGCCCCGCGCGGCGAAGAGCACGTCTGCAGCACGAGTTCCATTAGCATGTGCGGATGATCGCGCTGCCCCGCCTCCGAGGACGCAGCGCCCTCTCGTATCGACGCAACCAACCAATTCTACAATGCCTTCGGACTGAAACAAATTAGCCACGTGCTTGGTAACTCCAGTGAGACGTCGCCGAGTGTGTCGGCATGTCCGTTGCTGAGCTACGTCACCCCACCCAGGCGAAGGGCTCTTCGGCTCGGCCACTTGCTGTTTGAGCACTTTCTAATGTTATGTGAGTCGCTGTGGAATCTCGTTTTAACATACATCGCTCGGATTTCAATGATTCTAGCTACACTCGAAACTCAAATACACGAATACATTGATACATACATGAAAGCAGGTAGCATCAACGAGCAGCCACTAAACAGCTGCCCGACTCAAGTAACGACAACTAACAAGACACGGAACGCTTCCAAACGCAAACCAAGTGACTAACAACATCTGAGCGCCACTATGAGCAGCTAAACGCAAGAACACGCACCACATGTATGTCAAACTGAACTTCCAACAAGACTCATGCGCAGCCTTCGCCTGTTGTATGGTCATGTTGTGCGAGACGGAGCGGGAGCGGAAATGACAGAGGCGACGCAACTCATTCAGGCGATCGAAAGCCCCCTGCACCCGGCGAATTAACGCCTGGAACCGCGGACTGGGATCGCGGGCAGATGCGCCGGCTCCTGCATTTCAAGATGAGGCCCAAAGGCCAAAAAGGGCCTTCGCATCCTCTCGCATCCTCTCCCAGACATCCGACATCCTGGTATCTCCTTGTATTCCAAAGACGGCCACGGGGCAAAAAAACATATGAAACATTCGCCTGTTGATTCAAGACGTCAGGTGTCTGGGCGATTGCTCTACGTAACGTACTCACTCGTAGCTTCCAGTTCGGAGCAGAGCCCCGACGTCTCTTGAGCTCCGACCGACCGCTACCTTGGCGTTGCCACCCACATGGCCGTCCAAGTCTCCGTGCAACAGGGGATAGCAATACACGATTAGCAACTACTGCGATGGCATGTGGTAACTGGGTCTGTGCAACAATGCTCAAATCAACAACAATTCTTCAGATCGGCAAGAAATCCATGAACAAGAGCCTCGCTGTCACAACACCCAAGCTGTACGTACTGCCTCGACTGCATAACTGGATCAAGCTAGTGGGAACGTCCCCGTCCGAAATCAATCGGCTTTCGGACTCCATTCGCAGAGCAACTTTATCCACAGATTGCAAACGAACATGCATTCAACACGGCCCGAGCTTCGCCATCTTCCGCCATACGCAAGACCATATCTGGTGGTGAGGGGATGGGAAGCGAGGGGACAAACTTTGATGTATTGTTGCGCCGTCGAAGCGAGCGATCAAACGAGCCTCAGAAATCGAGAGCACTACAAATTGTGCATCCATGCACCATGCACCATGCAATAGAGGCACAGCTGACAACGGCACATCCCCTACTTACACATTCGCCGTGCCGTCCTCGAAACTCACGAATTCGGTTTGCGAGCGAGACTAAACACTCAAGCTCGCAGTAATTGGCAACAAATTCTAGGCCACGCGCATCGGAGAAACAACCTGAGGGGGACGTTGTGTACGTCCAGACCTAACCTGGCTGCACCGACGCAATGCGCCGACCATCCGCTGCACCGACGCACTGCGCGCAAGACAGAGTACGGCAGGCTCCTGCCTTGACGACGTGGGCCTTGGCTTCTCACACCACCCGAACCGTTCAGGCTTGAACGATCTCCGCTCCCAGTGATCCCCACAGGCTCTCGACTCAACCCTTGATACGCTACGTTTTCGACCATGGGCCCCTGGTTTCCCATCGGCCTTAGGCGGTCTTCTCGCCGTCTTCGGCGGTATTCTCACAGTCTTCGGCGATCTGTTCGTAATCTTCTGGCGGTCTTCGGCGCGAAAGCTGGGCGGCTGCCTTCCACAAAGGGGTCCGTGATCGATCACCTCAGGCACTGACTTCGACCCGTCGGTAGTCCTCGCGGGCCCTGGGGCCAAGCTCGAGCCCACGGACGGTGCTCGACCCGAAACGCTCGCGCCGGCGTCGCCGCCGCGTGGAGGAATTGCGGGCCCGACGTGCCTGCGGCACCCAGAACGCGGCAGACAACACTCTCTCGGCACGCGCAAGACCCAACAGACGTCGGACACCAGATATCGAACCCGGGGGTCGGGGGTTGCCAGGTGTGCCCCTGGTGCCGCTGGCACACATGAGGTGCCACTTCCTTCCCGCGCGACGCTGGAGCCGCTGAGGCCCTTCGGGCCTCAAGAATGGTGCTCTGGGGGCCCCCGGGGCCTCCTGGGGAACCCTGGGAACACCTCGGGCCGGACACAGAGATGCACAGACAGGACGTCGTGATTTTTCGCAACGAGGCCCCCCCCGGAGGTCTGGACTCCTTCCTGGGGGCACGGGTCCTTTATCGCATGCCCTGGGGCCCCAGTGCGGGCCCCCGAGGCATAAGCATAAAATTATGATGAGTCGAATATTCGTCATTCTACTACTACTACTACTACTACTACTACTACTACTACTACTACTACTACTACTACTACTACTACTACTACTACTACTACTACTACTACTACTACTACTACTACTACTACTACTACTACTACTACTACTACTACTACTACTACTACTACTACTACTACTACTACTACTACTACTACTACTACTACTACTACTACTACTACTACTACTACTACTACTACTACTACTACTACTACTACTACTACTACTACTACTACTACTACTACTACTACTACTACTACTACTACTACTACTACTACTACTACTACTACTACTACTACTACTACTACTACTACTACTACTACTACTACTACTACTACTACTACTACTACTACTACTACTACTACTACTACTACTACTACTACTACTACTACTACTACTACTACTACTACTACTACTACTACTACTACTACTACTACTACTAAATATTCAAATCATACGACTGGCAATGATACTGTTAATGATACAGAACATAAGCAACACGTCGAATACCAACATACAACAATCTCAATGTCAATGCTCCTAGAAAACTGATACTATAGATCGGCATGGTTATTTAAAACACGACTTATAACATTCGTAATAATAATAATGCGAATGCTGGACGTAAACACAACGACACCCAAGAATGAAGGTATATAGTAAGGTCAAGAGTTCGGATCTAATGCGGCCGTTCGGGACAACCTGGGCCGCCCGAAACGCTCTCGGCGAGGCGCAGCTGCAGGAGAGCACCCCCAGGCTTGAAAGCCTCCAAGCACCAGAGAAAGCATCCGAAAACCTTGAACATCAGACAAGAGTTCTGCGGTGGCTGGATGTCTGCGTTCCAGTTCTCCTTGGGGTGAACCCTGGCTAGAAGTCCAAGGTGAATCCAGCCGTGGCAACGAGGAGTCCCAGAGGGCCAGAAACGCCTGGAAATCTGGACCCTCAATCCTCGAGCCACGACCCTGCCTGGGACGGGGACGAGCTCCTGGCCATTGCTCGGACGTCCATTACCAGTGCATTGATCGGTTTCGTGCGTGTTTGCTTGCAAGATGATCCAGGATGCTCCTCAACGGTCCTCGCCGAGAAAAGATGCACACGCCCGAGCGACGCCAAGGCTCTGGTAACACCCGAAGAACGGGCATCGCCTCACAGAAGGTCAGCGATGGTTGGGGCCCAGCTCGGGGGGGGGGAACATCGATCTAGAATTAGGTCGGGCATGTCCTCCTACAGGCGGACTTGGGATGACAAGTTACGAGTAATTTTAAATGCTCAAGCAAAGGCAACAACAGTCGAACACTCGCCCCTATATTGGCTTTGTAAACTATGTTGAACATGCCTCCTGTAGCTTTAGCTCAGCTTTAGCTTTGGCTTTGGCGTTAGCTTAGCTTTAGCTTAGCTTTAGCATAGCTTTAGCTTAGATTTACAGTTACTATGCTGCTTTCCTAGGGGCTCCAACTCCTAGGTAGGGTCGCACTGGGATAATTGGCTTGTGTAAACTATTTTGAGCATGCCTCCTGTAGGGGGACACGTCCAGCTGAAATCTGGAATCGGCGATACCTCGCCGACACATCGGCGATCACCCCCACATGCTCAAGCAAAGGCAACAATAGTCGAACACTCGCCCCCATATTGGCTTGTGTAAACTATTTTGAGCATGCCTCCTGTAGGGGGACACGTCCAGCTGAAATCTGGCATCGGCGATACCTCGCCGACACATCGGCGATCCGCCCCCGAGAACGACCCCGCACGCTCGGTCCACGATCGGCGGGGACTGGCTCGGGGGGGGGGTGGACACATCGATCCAGCCAGTCAGGAGGAGGAGGAGGAGGAAGAACAGGAGGAAGAACAGGAGGAAAACAAGACAGGAGGAGGAGGAGGAGGAGGAGGAGGAGGAGGAGGAGGAGGAGGAGGAGGAGGAGGAGGAGGAGGAGGGGGAGGGGGAGGAAGAGGAGGAGGAGGAGGAGGGGGAGGAGGAGGAGGAGGAGGAGGGGGACGAGCAGGGGGAGGGGCGGCACGAGGAGGCGGAGGAGGGGGAGGAGGTCCCCAACCCCGCCTCTCGCCGATAGAATCGGCGAGAACTCGCCGACACCTCCGCGATCGGCCCCCGAGAGCGAGGCCGCGCGCTCTCGGGCGGGGCGGGCTCCCTCGGGAACCCCCACCCCGGCGAGCAGGAGGCGGCTGGGGGTCGATGCGCACCCGCCCCCGGAATGGGCGCGCAAACATGGATTAGCAATCCATGGATTTGGCGCGCGGGCGCCAAACCCATGGATCGGGGGAGGGGCTCTCCCCAAAATGCGGACGGCGCCGCTTCGCTCGGCGGCGGAGATCCGCGATAGCATCGTCTGACCCGTCCCCAATGGCAGCTTGCGGTTAACACATCCGTGGGGGGCGCGCGTTCTCTCTCCTGCCCCCCCCCCCCCTGGCGCGCGTGATTCAAAAAAACACATCGCGCCACGCGGGGTCTATTCATCAGCCCCGGGGGGGGGGTTCCGGTCATCTGTTCATCACAAGCTGACATCATCTCGGGGGCGCGCAACACATGGATCGGGGGAGGCGTCCTCCCCAAAATGCGGCCGGTGCCGCCTCGCTCGGCGGCGGAGAGCCGCGACCTCTCGCGGAAACGGGACACGTCGCTAATCCACGCCCCCTTGATCCATGCTTGCGATCGCCTGGCTATCCCCACTGGCGTGGCCTCGGCCCCGCTGGCCGAGGTGTCCCCCCTCGATGGGGACATGGGCTGCTGCCTGCGGGTATCGAGGGGGCTATATCCCCAACTGGGGCGGTACGCTGGCGGGGCTGAGATACCATGGCCCATTGGGGATAGGGATCGGAGAAACGATACTGACTGAACCTCTGCCCTGGGCCTCCCGCGTTCGTTCGGGACGATCCCGGCACTCCCCGAACGCTCTCGGCGAGGCGCAGCTGCTACAAGGCCCCCCCGAGGCTGGGAAGCCGTGGAGAAGCGGCGAGAACGCTCGAAAGCATCGAAACTCGAACCCTCGAACCACTGAACCGACCCCCCCCTTCCAAAGGCCTCCTAGATGGGCCGAAGTAGATGGGGTCGGAGGATCGCCCCGCATCGCCGATGCATCGGCAACGCATCCACGATGCATTGGCGATGCACCCGCGATGCACTTGACGTCGGCGATGCACCGGCGACGTCGGCGTGGAGAACATCGGGTCCCACATGGAGCCACATCGCCGATCGGACCCTCCGACCCTATCTACAGCAGGGCTGATAACATCAGGAAGGCAGACACCTTTTTGGCGCCAACAGCGCCTGGGTGCGCGAGGAAGGCTCGAGGAACCACCACGGAGTGGCCCAAGGCACGGCGAGCGCCTTCCGAACCCAGAGCGGTCCTTATTTCAGAGTCTTGACTGTACTCCGACCCCATTCTGGGAGGCCAAGACGACCGCTGCTTACTAGCTCCCTCCGGCGACTACGAAGGGTGTGGTTTGCAAAGGGTGTGGTTTGCAACTGGCACCCGGGGGGGGGGGCCTTGGGGGGTGGGCGAGGACCTCGACGGAGTTCTTCGCCGCGCCCCTAGGAAGCCCGACGAGGACAGCGTCGTGCTCCCCAGGCCCCAACGGTGCCGACCGCAAACCACACCCCGGCGTAACCACCCGATTTGTAGTCGCCGACCACACCACGGCGGTGAAGGCGCTATAGGTATGGGTGCGAGTTGTCGGACCCCGAGGGGGGCTCCCTTTCGAGCGGGGACCCCCATCCGACAACATACACCCGTAGCCGCCCCCCAAGAAATCCACCCGAGATCCCGTGAGGGGCGAATGGGTACGGGTGTTAAACATGAATGGCAATTCAATTGCATGGGATGCATGTTGAGCACGTGTGTTAGGACTAGGTTCGTGTGCTCGTTGTCAGCTCGTAATCTAGCCCCAAGCCCCCTGAGCAAGGCGGGCATCGGCTCACAACTCACGCACTCGAATACGGCCCCAAGATCTGCGAGACCAACCTCACGATACGAACGTTCGCGCAACGCGTACTGAAACCAACGTGGAATGTACGTGTCTGTCCTTCTTTCGCTCGTGAGCAGCCTTTACCCCTGAGGAGGGGGGGAGCCAGGTGAACCTACATGGTTGGCCGCTTACGACCCTCGCCGTCGCTGCTGCCGAGCACCCCTCGAACCTGCGCGGGGCCGCTTGCGCCGCCCGGGTTCTCGAAGGGCGCAGATCGCTGAAACGCACACGTCGTCCGCGCAGCTCGAGGCCGAGTCCTCCTGCAGAGGCTCCCCGCAGCCTCTCTACAAGCAAGCCGGGCCTCATCCACTCACGGCTCTGGCGCCTGGGCGCCCCCGGCGGGCGACGGCTCCGGCTCCAGGCGCTCGTAGAGCACCAGCGGCCGCGCCGGCTCCGCGGAGGCGCCGCCGCCGAGCCGCCGCAGGGCCCGCGGCCACGCCGCGGCCGCGGCCGCGGCGGCCAGGGCGAGAAGCGACGCGAGGGCCAGCGCGGCGGGGCGCGGGAGCTGTCCTGGCCCGGGCGCGCGCCAGGGCCCGCGGAGCGGGGGCGCTGCAGCGCGTGCGCACCGGGCGCTGTCGCCCGGGCTCGGGCCGCGGGACCGTGGCAGATCGATCCGGCTGGGAGAGGTGTGGCGCCTCAAGGATGGGGTCTGGGGCTCTGGGCGCTTTCGCTGGGGCTCAGGCCCCATGGACCATCACCGATCGATCCGCTTCGAAGGATGACGCGGCAGGATGGGGTCCGGGGCTCTGGAGGTGATGCTTCTCGATATCTGTGTGTTGTTTGTGTTTTTTCTCTGTCAAAACAAGCGATGCTGCAAGTGTCTTGCAACGCTAGATCTGCAGGGAAAGGAGACCCTTGCCCGCGGCCCTGCTGGCCGCTGCGGCCCGTGTCTGGCCCGCGGGGCTTGCGGGTCGTGGCGTGCGAGGCGACAGCAGCGGCCTGCCTGCTTGGGATTGGACACCCCTCCCAGACGCGCGCCCCAAAAGGTTCTAGGGAGAGCGATGGGGGGGAACCAGCTCAGTGGGGGCGGGGGGAGCATCGAGCGTGAATCGGCGATACATCGCCGATGCGTCAACCGACGATGCGGCCCCCGATAACGAAACCGCGACGACAGCGCCCCCTGGGGCGGGCTACCGGGCTCCTACTGGAGATGAATGGGCGATCCCAGACCCCCGACGTCATAATTTTTTCATGATGTCGACCCCTAGAGTTCTCAACCCATTCCCCGGGACTGCTTTCGCATCCTCAGTCGTTTTCTGACGGTCCCGAGGCCCGGTGAGGGCCCCCGGAGGCCGAAAATTAGAGAAACCTCCCGTCATGATTGGTTCCTTGCCCGAGGGGGTCTGGGATCGGGGCTCGATGCATATCCCCCTGAGCCTATCCCCCCTGACGTGGCCCCCAACCGGGCCGCGCGCCAGGGGGCCCTCCGGCGAAGGGACCCTCGCCTTTCGAGTGCCCGCCGGGTCCTGGGTGGCCGCGCAGGAGAGGGGCCCGCCACGCGTGCTCCTGCCAGGTCGGACGAAGGTCCGCGGCGCGCACACAGGGGGGGTTGGGGGGGGAGGGGGGGGGGAGGGCTCCTTAGAAGGAGGCTGCTTCTCAGAGGGCGCCGGCCTTACATCTAGAGATGAGGCCCGCGCCCTCGGAGGAGCAGGGGTGCTGCTAAGAAGCCCTCCCCCCTCCCCCCACCCCCCTCTGCGCGTGGCTGAGAAGGGGGGCTTGGTAAAGGGCGGGCTTGAGCGAATCGGCTCACCCACGGCAGGCTCGTGTGACGACCAGGACGTTGGTTCCTGACACCGCGTGGGCCCATCAACCTGGAACAATCGGCGGCTTCTCGATCACCAGGCCGTTGCACAATGGTCGACTCTGGGACACCGGAGGCGTTCAACATGGACTCCCAGAATTCCGATGTCGTGATTTTTTCAGTGCGCGGTTCCCGGAAGCCTCGACCCATTCCCCAGGACCGGCTTGTCGTCCCGAGTCATCTTTTGACGGTCCAGGGGCCCGGCGAGGGCCCCCAGAGGCCGAAAACTGCGAAAAAAAACCTCCGTCTTGACTTTTTCAAGACGTTGGCTCTCTGGGCCCCCGGCACGACACTCACAGACCGCAGGCACAGTGCGGGCGCGGCCGCAAGAAATCCTCGCAAGAAACCCACCCCTGAGAACCCGTGCGCGAGGTGCACCCGAGGGGAAACCTGGAGCACCCTGAACGCAGCAGCTTCTTCAACGGCTGCGGGAAGTCATCGCGCAGCGCGAGGAGCCAATAAATCGGGACGACAGACATGGGCACGAAAAGAATGGGTACAAAGACCGACAGCAGTTCTTGTGCATTTTGAGCAGGATTCGCTGTCGGCGTCGCCGCGGGTTGTGTCCATTTGAGACAGAAGGCCGCCTGCCAAACAGAGGCCGGCCGCTGTTGGTTCGGGACAGCATTTGCTGTTGGGCACTGTGCCCGTTGTTTCCGTACGCATTCCGGGCGTCCAAAATAAACCCAGGATGCCCTGACGAAAAGCATATGGTTGCTTGATGCACGCCCCCACTGTAAGCCAGTCAGCCCACGTAGCTGGTTGCCCCGTCGCCGGGGGCTCCCGCGTGTCGAGGAGGGCGGCCGGCGGCGGGGCCGAGACCAGCCGCGTGTGGCGCAGAGGTCGGTACCACAAATCCCTTATCAATCGACGCCCCTTGCAGAAATGAAGTAAGTGAGGAGACGATCGTTTTCCTTACAGACCGAAAGGTGCCTGGAGCCAAACAGATGCGTCCAATAGCAATACGTGACAATGCACACAACATAATCACAACCTGCTAACAAGACACTGATATAACAAACTACACATCTGCACCCCTAAAAAACCGGACCCCCCTCCAAAAGGCGATCTAATATTCTGGACCCCCCTCTTCGACGGGGCGCCTTGATAAACAGGACCCCCTAAGCTCCAGTCCAGAAAAAAAACCCTAATAAACTGGTTCCCCCAAGTTACAAAAAAGGCGCCTTACAAAACCGGACGCGGGGGACGATGAATCTAGAATTTGGCGTACCTGGTTTTCCTGTGGGTCCCTCCTGTCGCCCTAGGTTTAGGCCGGGCATGTCCCCCTGTAAGCGGACTTTTGGGAGCAAAATGGAAAATACTAAAAACATACCAGAACACAATCAAACATGATGAACACATCGTCCCGGGACTATTTTTGTCTGACTATTTTTGAACATTCCTCCTGTAGAGGGACATGCCCGATTTAGCCCTAGGTCGCCCAACTTCGCGCATCGCGCCCCGCGATGCGCAGTTAGAATTATCCTCGCGTCCTCGCGGCGCCCCCTGGAGGAGGCCACATGTCCGACCAAGGCCGCAATGAGCGCAACACTGTTATCTTCGCGCCCCCGCGGGTGACCGAGTCGGCTTTGACGCCCGAAATGGGTACGGAGAAATGGCACGATGCTCGACAACAAATGCTGTTCAAAACCGACAGAGGCAGCGGTGAGTTTGAAACCAGCCCCAAGAGGCGTCCAGGAAGCCTCCAAGAAGCTCCCAAGAGACCCCAAGAGGCCTCAAGAGGATGCACGAGGCACCTAAGAAGCTCAAAGACGGCCCCAGGTTCGCCAAGATGCCCCTTCTCCTCCTCCTCCTCCTCCTCCTCCTCCTCCTTGTCCACTGTCTCTTCGTCCTTCTTCTTCGCCCTCCTCCTCCTCCTCCTCCTCCTCCTTGTCCACTGTCTCTTCGTCCTTCCTCCTCTTCGCCCGGCTCCTCCTCCTCCTCCTCCTCCTCCTCCTCCTCCTCCTCCTCCTCCTCCTCCTCCTCCTCCCATCCTCCCTCTCTTGGGGTATCGAACGGCTCCCCCACTTCCCTGATCACCTCAACTCTCCTGGGCATCGCTTCTGGATGTGCTGATGGGGATACTTTTTGGTCGCGGCCACGGGCGAGGCGAATTGGCTAAAACAGAAGCCTGTTAGCGCGGGCACGCGCACTGGACAAAATGACCAAATTCGAGAGGTCAACGCATGACAGGCGCAAGCACCTTACCACAGTGGGCAGGTCTCCGTGCCCAGTGAAGATGGGAAGGCCAATGAAGTGAGTCACCATTGTGGCGCCAGGCTGGTGGGGATACTTTTTTGGGTTTGCGGCTCCAAGGCAAATGTCAAGGAGCGGACGCAGCGTCCGGGATGCGGTACGGAGCGAATTTGCGAACCCAGCCGTCAATGTCGACAGCCGTCCGCACCTGCAAGGCATGCTCGCAGTTGCACATGCACAGTACAAAATTAACTAAATTCGCAGACAAACGCACATAGGCGGAGCAGCGAACCGAAGGGCACGAGCTACAAGTGCGAAGACAGCAGAGTGAGTCGCCGATGCGGCGCCAAACTCGAGCTGACAGTGCGAAAGCGAGCGAGCGACCAGCAGCTGGTAGGGATACGCGCAACGTCAACAATTACTAGGGAATGCCGTTGGACTTCGCACCCATTGTTTCCGTACCCATTTCGGTCCCCGCGATCGTCCCCGCTCAAAATCGGCGCCAAGACCCCTCACGCGGGGTCCTTCTGGTGCAATTTTTCACGCCAAATCCGTTTTTGAGGGTTCCAGGGACCAGAAAACGGCCCCCGCGCCGAAAAACATAAAAAAAACCCTCCCGTACCCAGAACCTCGAACCTAGCCTTCCCTTCCTGCTCGCCAGACCCAATGCTGGGCCACCTCAGACCCCCAGCCAGCTCCCAGGGTGGACCCGAGAATCGAGTGGATAAATCGGATCGGCAGAAATCGGCAGCCGAGTCGGGCGAAGTCGGATCGGCGGACATCGGCAGGCTAGTATGCCTCCACAATAAGGAATCGAAGTCCAAACCGGAATCCGAAGTCGAATCGAATCGGAATCGGAGGCCATCGAAATCGAACCGAATCGAATCGGAGGAATCGAAACGAGCCCCTGCAAGGGTGGCCCAGCCGTCCGCCCCGATCCTTGATGACGCCAGTCCCCGCAGGGAGGTGCGGGGCGGAGCGCGTGATGCTCAGGACCTCGCTTTGGTCGGGCATGCCCCCCTACAGGGGGGATTCTGGATGAACCATTCAAAACTGCCCCAAACATCCCCCCCACAAAGGCTCCGAAATGGTCAAAAATGGTTCCCCGGCTGTCACTTGACTATGTCGAATATTCCTCCTATAGAGGGACAGGCCCGACTGAAACCTCGGCCCGCGTCTCCGCGTCGCCGGCGCTCAGCAGCACGCCGTCGCCCGCCGCCAGGCGCGGGGGCACGTCGCTGGCCCTGGCCTGCACCAGCAGGTCCTCCCAGGGATTGAGCACCCAGACAGGTCAGGCTCGTTCTCGGTGAGAACGAGATGGGCCTGTCCCCGTCCTCGTTCTCGCGGCCTGGGAGCCACAGGCGGCGAACACCTCATTCGCGCCCGCGCGGACTGGATTCCGGGGCGCGCTCCCACGGACACGCGAGCACGGACACGGGACGCGCGGGGCATCCGCGGAAAAACGCCCCGCATCCGCGGGGGCGCGGCCTGGGGGCCCTGTGTCCTTCGCCCACCACCTCCCTCCTCCCTCCCTGCCTCCTTTGACTGTCTTCCCCTCTCCTGGAAGGGCGGAGGTGTGCGGCAACGTTGGAGGGGGGGGCCAGCTAAGGAGGGAAAGAAAATCGAGCTGGAATGGACGATGCATCGCCGATAGTTCGGCGATGGGCCCCCGAAGGCGAATCTAGGCGTTCCTGGGCAGGGTGGGCTACCAGGCCCATGCCGGCGATGAATGGTCGACTGGGGCACGGCAACCTCTTTCCTTGTGGCGGGTAACGGTCGTTACCTGGGGGAGAGGCGGGTAACTGTAACGCTTTATAGGACTAGGTCGGGCCTGTCCCCCTACAGTCCGATTTTGGATTAAAAAATAATCAGAAAATGCACCCCACATGCTCAAAAATAAAAAAGATCGTCCCCAGACTATGTTTGAACCATTTTTGAATTTCCCCCTGTAGAAGGGACAGGCCCGCCTTAGGGGTAGGGCTCGTCGGGACGGGGGCGCGCTGCGCTCGCCGTGGTGCGCGCCAGAGACGCCAGAGCAGCACTCGATGCCTGCAAGCAAACCAATGGCCTGCGATTCGATCGCGCGCGCGAGGCCCGAGAGCACCGGCAAGGAACATGCGAGCACCGCAACGGCCTGCCTCCAACCAACGCGAACAACAACACAATCTTCGTCGGAATCGGCGTCGGCATCATTGGAGGCGTCGTCGCAAAGGGGCCTCATCGGAATCATTTTCTGAGTTATCGGCGTCGCCGTCGGAATCGTGAAATTCGTCGTCGGAGTCGTCGCCGTCGCCGTCGTCGTCAGAATCGGAGTCGCTGTCAAAGCTTTCGTCGTCATCGTCGTCAAATTGCGCCGTCGTCATCGTCGACTTCGTCGTCATCGGAATCGACATTGTCGTCGTCGGCGTCGGGGTCACCGTCAGTGTCGTCGTCGTCATCGTTGTCGTCGTCGTCGTCAGTGTTGTCGTCGTCCAAAACGTCGTCGTCAGCGTCGTCGCCGCCGTCGTCGACGACGTCGTCAACGGAACCGTCGTCGCGCATCTCCTCCAACCCGTGCTCCCCCTCGTCCTCCTGCATGCTCTCTTTAGACATAACGCCTCCCCAGTCGCCCCCCCGAAGCTGGTCGAACAGGCGGACTGGGCGTTTGGCCTGATATTCCCTCACCATGTATGATCTCGAAGCTTAAACCACGTTAACAATTTTCGTGAATGGACGGCGGGTGGTTTTCAACATGTGGTTCTCGTGTGTGCGCCGCGCACGTTCGTTTTCGAAATTACGATAGCCTCACGGATTGCGGGCTGGTCGTTTTCAAAATGTGGTGCTCGCCTGAGCGTCGCGCGCATTCGTGTAAACAAATGTGCAAGAGCTTCACGGATTGAGGGCGGTTCCTTTTCAACCTTTGAATATCTCCTTAGCGCCGCGCGCATTCGTTTTCAACCGTTGCAACAATTTCACGGATTGAGGCCGACTGCTCTTCAAAAAAAAGGTTATCGCCCTCGCGCCGCGAATACTCGTTGATTGAAGGCGGCTCCGTTTCAAAAAAAGGTTCTCGCCTTCGCGGCGTGCACTGTAGTCTTAAGTCTGCAATCGTTTCACCGATTGAATGCGGTTCCTTTTTTCGTTCATAGAGTGGCCGTAGCATGAGCGCCGCGCACGCTCTTTCTAAGACCGTGCCGCAGTTGGGCTGGTTGTCATGGTTCACGTACCAGAAAGTGTGTCTTAAAACGGTTCATGGCTGTCGGGCCGCATCACATACGTTGACTCGCACTGCTAAGTTCCAGTAGTGGTGTTTTGGCACGATTCAGGATCGCCGAGGCGCAACAGTCATGTTAAACACGTGGCGTTGGAATCCTGAAGATGGCCTTCTGGCGCGCTTGACGACTTCACACGGTTGCGCCCCAACGGGGCAGTTCCATAGTGGAAGTGAACCCTCGCGTGGGGCCTATGAGCAGGGAGCTCGGAGTAAGGGTGTGTTCCAACATCGTTGATGGGTCTTGGATTTGCACTGGTCCTCCTCCTCCTGCTCCTTCTGCTCCTCCTCCTCCTCCTCCTCATCTTCTTCCTCCTCCTCTTCCCCCCAGTTTCCCCCAGGCGGGGGGCTGCGACTGCAGCCTGGCCACACGGCGCCCCGCATAAGGGACGACTGGGTTTGTATGGCCATGGAGAGCCTCGACCATCGGCAGGTCCCCCGACGATGGAAGCACGGCCAAGCAAGGATCCGACTTTCGCCCCAGAGGGGGGGGGGCTGGCAGCCCTCTGAGATCTCGGCGGGGGCGCAGGAGCGCCGAACCTCAAATGATGGCGCGCGATTGCCTCAGAATCCGGGATGCGGATCACTGGCGCCATTGAGCCAATCCTTCCTCCATCAGTTTCGTAATGGAGCGCTGCGCCCCCAAAAAAGTGGCACATTTGCCTCACATGCATTTGTGCGCCACTACCCATCACCTCGGCCATCGTCTGTGCAATGTGTACATGAATTCCAAAAACTCGTCGATCTTGGCCAACGGGTCTCCAGTCTTCATGCGAAATCTGTTGCGTTCTCTCCGCCCAACCCGGTAACGGTCCATGAAGTCAGAACCTTGCTCCACTTCATCGTTAGACAATTTCGTGTGGATTGGATTTGGAAGCGTCGACTTACAATCCACAATGTGGTATCCAATTCCCAGATGTTTCTGGTCTCGTCTCTAACATCGATGGCACAAAAAAAACTGCCCGTGTTTGAATACTCGCTGTAAGACCGTCGAACTTGGCCTCTGCTTCATTGATCCTTAAATTTCCGCTAGGAACGCGACTCGCCTCACAAAAAGGAGCGTCATCTCGATTCAGTTCGTCACGGCTGACATTCGCACCAACGTTCGGCATGCGTCCTGACTGCACCACGACCCTTTTCCGCAAGTGCAACCTTGGGGACTTCGACGTCTTTCTCGGCGTGCTCAAACGCGGTTACATCCACGTACCAGCTTGTCCCTTGTATTGCTACGACCCGATTCAAATGGGACGCGATGCTGATAATATTGATTGGATTGCACTTATGCGCGCAAAATGTGAGACTCGATTTCACCGAGACGGCGGATGACATCCAACTGATCATTCGGTATCGCATCGAATTTCTTGATGATCACTTCTGCGCATGTTCTGCTTTCCCTCCTCGGAACCGGTCTGCGTTGCCATCGCCGCTCCAAACAAGACTCTTACTGCTCAACGTTCCATTCAATTGTCTTGGGCCCATGCCATGGCACATAATCGATGCAGAAAGTGGACACTCTCGGTCTGAATTGGGCTTGAGCATCACCTCGATTCTTGAACCTGACCTTCAACAACGGGGGCCTTGAGCTAAAACGGCTACGAGGGCCGACGCTGGAGCGAGTAAAAAGAAGACGACGAGGAAGAGGACGACGACGGACACCGACGAACGACGATGACGACGACGACGACGAGGACGACGACGACGGCAGGGCGGAATCGTCGGTGACGGCGGCGGCGGCGACGACGAACGACGAGGTTGACGACGGTGGCAGGGCCGCGGCGGCGACATGATAGAAACCGCCACCCCGCTTGCAGCAGCTTGCCCGTGTCGGGCACTTACGTTCCTCGTTCGTTTTCGTCGTCGTCCTCCTCCTCCTCCCCCTCCTCCTCGTCGTGCCCCTCCCTCCCTCGCGAACATTATATTCACCTGCGAACGCCGCAACCTGCTCGCGAATATCACAACGCCTGCGAGCACCACACGCATGTGCAACAGCACGCGAGAACCTGTCATATTCGCAGCAGAGCGAGCAGCGCAACGCGTGCTCGAACACCACTAATGAGCCCGCATATGCCACGGTAGCACGTGAGAACCGCAGTATACCTGTTGTTCACAACATACGTTCGGGCACCCACCTGTTGTTCACAACATACCCAAGTACGATCGTTACCATCATCCTGGGTGGGGGGGCAGGTAGCGAGCGTCACCCGCAAGAGGGTAGAACAACAATCCCGGGCCCAGCACCCCCTACCTAGGTGGGGTGCCCACATAGGCCGTATGCGCCCAGCCACGTACGTGAATACGACCCCCCAATCCGCGAGACCAACCTCATGATACGAACGTTCGCGCACTGCGTACTTTCGAAACCAACGTGGATCCGTGTACGTGTAAGCCCTTCTCTCGCTCCTGACGAACGTTGCCCCTGAGGAGGAGAGGAGCCAGGTGGATCTGTATGGTTGTCCGCTACCGATCCTCGCCGTCGCCGCTGCCGAGCATCCCTCGGACTTGCGCGGGGCCGCTCGTGCTGTCCAGGCTCTCGAAGGCAAAGTCGTAGAAACGCACGTAGTCCGCGCACATGGATGCCGAGTCCTCCTGCCGAGGCCCGACAAAGTGCACAAACATTGTCCGCGCGGATTTCTCGGGACGGCGCCGAACGGCCGCACACCCGGTACGAATGAAACGGGTCCTGGTCCTGGGACCCCGGGGCTTGCTTTCCTCAGCTGCGTCCAGCCCTGGCGACGAAGCGACGAGGGGTCCCCCGCAGAAGGCCAGCTGCCGTTGACTCAGCTCGCCCTCCTCGAAGGTTGGGGCCTCGAGCGACAGAACCCAGACCCCCGACGTATGGATTTGTTTTCATAGCGTGGACCCCAGGATGCCTCGACCCAGTCCCCGAGACCAATGTTCCATCAACAGTCGTTCTCTGACGGTCCTAGGGCCCAGCAAGAGCCCCGGGAGGCCGAAAACGGCGAAAAACCTTGCGTCGCGATCTTGCCAGGACGCGAGAGACTTGGTCTCCCGTCCTCGCAAGCGCCCTCGCCATCGCTGCCCTTGCCGTCCATCCAGAGCATGTCGTCGTCGCTCCAGTAGCTCAGCACGGGCGTCATGCCGGCGCCGAGGGCGCTGGACAGCTCCGCGAGCCCGTCGTACTCGGCCAGCTCCCGGGAGAGGCTGCAGGGCTGGCCCTCCTGCGAGAGGGTCACCTGCGCAGGATAAGTTGGCATCGGACATCCTCGTCACTCCTCCTCTTTCCTTCTCCTCCTCCTCCACCACCCTCCTCCTCTTCCACCCCCCATCCTCCTCCTCCTGAACCCCCTCCTCCTCCTCCGCCGCCTCTCTGGCACGGTCAGGATTGCCAGGGTTGCCAGGACGCAACAATCACGTTGATTCGCGGCGTTGAAGTTCCCAGAATTATGTTTTGTTACCTTCGGGGATTATCAAACGGTTGTGTTCCGATGGGGCACTTCCCGCAATGAAAATCAGTCCCACCCGCCCTCTGGGCGAACGTGGTATAAAGGGTTGTTTCCTTCCTGCCACCAGAGCCCTTGCTCGGGGGGAGGCTGTACTGGGGGGGAGGCGAGGTGGCGGACAGCCCTTTGTAATCCAAGATGGTTCCAAGAGCGCCCTCAATGCTGCGAAATGGCCATCCAGATGGCTCAAAACATCTCAAGTGCCTTCCGACATCCCTCCAAGAGGCTTCAAGACCGCTTCAAGCTAGTTTCAAGTGCTATCCGAGCCTTCCAGAGCACCAGCCAAGAGGCCAACAACCTTTCACAATGTCACGAAAATCCATGTTGTTTGCCTTCTCGCCTTTTGGCTCCCGATGGGCTTCTGAGGCCTCATGATGGCCATTGGATAACCCAAAAGGGCCCCCATAGTGGCCCAAGAGGGCCCCCAGGACGGCCCCCAGACCGCCCCAAGAGGGCTCCTAGGGATCCTGTTTCGGCCTCCGGGGGGAGGGGGCCGAACTTAGGGCCCTCCTCTTGTTGTACAGTGGGGCCCAAGACTGCCCCACGAGGCCTCGCAGACGCCCGCAGAGAGTTCCAAGAGAGCCCCAGATGCTGCGAAATGGCCATCATAATGGCTCAAACCATCCCAAGCGCCTTCCGACATACCTCCAAGAGGCTTCAAGACCGCTTCAAGCTGGCTCCAAGTGCTACCCGAGCCTTCCGGGGCCCAAGACTGCCCCACGAGGCCTCGCAGACGCCCGCAGAGAGTTCCAAGAGAGCTCCACCAAGGCGCCGGGCGAGCCAGCGCGTCTTCTGGAACGAAGCCGAAGTGGCTCCGGGCGGCCTTCCACAAGCTTTGAGTGTCCAACATCGAGCTCCGTGAAGGCTCCATGGTTGACTCGTCGTTGTTTTCATCGGCTTCCTGATCGTCTCCTTTTTCCTCCGCCATCTTTCTGTGGCTTCGTCCTCTTCTTGTTGCACTCCTCCTCCTCCGCCTCCGCCTCCGCCTCCGCCTTCTCCTCCTCCTCCTGCTCCTCCTCCTCCTCCCGTTGCCTGCAAGTTCTCCCTGCTCCGATTGTCAAAGATAGCGACATCCCCGCCCCGAGAAGGTCCTCCAAGAGGGCCCCCAGAAAATCCCAATGAAGCCGTCGCGACATGGGAACATCCGTTCAGTCATGCAACAAATCTTACCGCCGTTTCTATCCTGCTTCCCTGATCGAAGCAACTCGCCTGGCGACCGTTCCTGGACAGGCTGGTGGGGATAATTACGCGAAGCGTCAAGAGCTCTTGCAGGGAAGGCTGAAGAGGGAACATAGAGGGAAGGTTCATTGCGATATCACTGATGCGCTTTGGGTTTACGCTGCTCTTCCTCCTCCTCCTCCTCCTCCCTCCTCCTCCTCCTCCTCTCCCTCCTCCTCCTCCTTCTCCCTCCTCCTCCTCCTCCTCCTCCTCCTCCTCCTCCTCGTCCTCCTCCTCCTCCTCCTCCTCCTCCTCCTCCTCCTCCTCCTCCCCCCTCCTCCTCCTCCCCTCCTCCTCCTCCCTCCTCCTCCTCCTCCCCCTCCCCCTCCCTCCTCCCCCCCTCCTCCTCCTCCTCCTCCTCCTCCTCCTCCTCCTCCTCCTCCTCCTCCTCCTCCTCCTCCCCCTCATCCTCCTAATCATGATACTCCACCTTCCTTCGACATGCTGTCGGGCCACGATGGCCCGTAGCGTCAGGCGTGCGCGAGCGGGCGAGCGGCCCGCCCACGCGCTGTGCAACAGCAGCTCTGGGCGGAGCTCAGCCACGCCGCTCAAGAACAGCCCGACGACCCCGGCGAAGCCCAGGCCCAGCAAGGCGGCGAACGGCCCCCCTCCTCCTCCTCCTCCTCCTCCTCCTCCTCCTCCTCCTCCTCCTCCTCCTCCTCCTCCTCCTCCTCCTCCTCCTCCTCCTCGGGCCTCCTCCCGCTTTCCTTGGGCAGGCCGCGGAAGAAGAGCTCGTGACGGCAACTCCTCCTCCGGCTGAGCGCGATCCTGCCTCCGCGCCCCTGCGGTTGGCGCGCGGGTGCCGGCCAGCTCGGGCGGGGGCGGCGAGTGCGAGACTCTGCGCGTCTTCCGCCCCCCTCGGGGGCGACGACGGGGGCGAAAAGCCCAGGGGAGAGCAACACGAGTATCCGGGGTCGCTGATGATCTATGCCCTCGGCGAGGCTCCCCGGCGAATGCGTGTCACGCCCGCCCCTGGGCTCGTCGGCCCTCTCGTCGCCGCCGACCCCCTCCGACGGCGGCCCAGACAGCCGGCGTCGTGGCCTTCTCACGGCGTGCGGCCCCCTGAGGTCTCGACGGCCCCAGGGGGGCCCGGCGAGGGCCACCCCGGGGGCAGCCGAGAGCGGGCCAGCACCATCCGTCTCGTGAGCTTTGTGCACGGAACGGGGAGGAGGTCAGGGCCGGGGCGAGCAAGCACGTCGGTCGGCGGAAGCAGGTACGGCAGGATCGTGTCGTGCCGACTTCGGCGTTGGTTTCTGACACCGCGGGGGGCGTTCAACCTTGAACGACCGGCCGTTTCCGGAACGTCCAAATCGTTTCACATCGAACGATTCTGGGTCGCCCGCGGCGTTCAAAATTGAACGCCGCTGGCGGGGTCGCCGCCGGTCGACACGACACGAACCTGCAGTAAAAGCATGAAGTACGAAGGCGACTGAAGTAGATTGGGTTCAGGCCCTCCCAGAGAATCACAAACCACAGCAAAGGCAGATCGGTTCTTGACGTAGGAAGGCGAAACAGATTGGGATCTGGTAATTAATTCAAAAGTACCTACTTTCAACGACTGGCGTGTACCTTTGCGCTTGCCGGCGGAAGGGGAGGACGCGGTGGGGCATGCCAAGGCGAGGGAGGCACGCGGCGTCGCAAGGGAGCCGAAGGCCCTGATTTTCCAGAGTGCTGAAAGGTCGTCCTCCAGACCTGCAGACCTCTCCGCTCGCCTGGACCTTCAGCTCACAGGTCATGGTGCTAGGTTCTTTCTGCCATCCTGGGAAGTGAGGATGCCAAGGGGGGTCACCACCAGAAGAGGTTCACCGACTCAGGAGCGATCCCTCAGGACCCAACATCCATTATCCCGGCAAAGCAACCTAACAGCGATGTGTAGAAGCATATCTGAAAGCATTCCCCTTAAGATTCAGATGAAAATCCAGTTGTAGAATTCTGCTGTTCTCGCAGTCGTAGTCGCATTCGCGATGACAGTCGCAGCGGCAACGGCAGTCGCAGTCACAGCCTCAGCCTCAGCCTGCCTCAGCCTCAGCCTCAGCCTGCCTCAGCCTGCCTCAGCCTCAGCCTCAGCCTGCTTCAGCCTCAGCCTCAGTCTCTGCCTTCAGCCTCGGCCTCAGCCTCAGCCTGCCTCAGCCTCAGCCTGCCTCAGCCTCTCAGCCTTCAGCCTCAGCCTGGCCTCAGCCTCAGCCTCAAACAGCCTGCCTCAGCCTCAGCCCGCCGCAGCATCAGCCTGCCTCAGCATTCAAAATGTGGCCCAGGAATGGAGTTCTGGGAACTCGAAGAGCACGAAGTGGCCTACAGTTGGCTCCGGGCATTCAAAATGTGGCCCGGGAATGGAGTTCTGGGAACTCGAAGAGCACGAAGTGGCCTACAGTTGGCTCCGGGCATTCAAAATGTGGCCCATGGGAACTCAAAATGTGGCGGGCCAAAATGTGGAATGGAGTTCTGGGAACTCGAAGAGCACGAAGTGGCCTACAGTTGGCTCCGGGCATTCAAAATGTGGCCCGGGAATGGAGTTCTGGGAACTCGAAGAGCACGAAGTGGCCTACAGTTGGCTCCGGGCATTCAGAATGTGGCCCGGGAATGGAGTTCTGGGAGGTCGAAGAGCACGAAGTGTGTGACTGTTGGCTTAAAACGACTTCTGCGGCACCCTGTCCGGCACCCGCCCAGACCCCCCTGTGGAGTCATCTGCTGCTCTCTTTTGACACCACTAGAAACCTATCAGAACAAGCTGTTAGGTAAAAATCGCAAAACCTCCACGATTCTCGACCTCCTGGCCCCGGCTTCCCGCCTGCGCGCTCGTCGTTGCCTGCCCGCTTCTCCCCTCCTCGTCCCCCTCCGCTGGACAGCACAGCCTGCCCAGAAACCAGCGTGGCGGCGCGTATCAGACTGGGCGGTCCACTGAGAAGCACAAAGCAGCTGGCGACCCCCCACAGTGGCCACTTCCCCTTGGCCATTGGCAATGTCAAAGGGAGGGAGGGGGGAGGAGGGAGGAGGGAGGGAGGAAGAGGGAGGGGGGAGGAGGGAAGAGGGAGGAGGGAGGAGGGAGGAGGGAGGGAGGAGGGAGGAGGGAGGGAGGAGGGAGGGAGGGAGGGGCATGGACGGGGCGAAGGGAGCAGAGGAGGGCCAGAGGCCAGGACCCCCTGCCCAGGGCCCAGCGGATACCAGAGGAACCCACTGCACCGCGACCCTCCCTCTCGTGAGCAACCTCGGCGCCCGCGGCGGGGGCCTCCCCAGCCATCCGACCTCACGATCTTTTCGCAGCGTGGCTGCCCAGAGGTCTGAGCCCCTTCCCGGGGACCAGCTCTTCACCCTGGGTCGTGTTCTGAAGCTCATGGGGCCCTTGGGGCCCCAACCGAATATACCCCAAAACAGTCCTGCGATCCCTCGCTGGGGTCCGCGATGAAAGGGCGGATTTCACGTGGCTCCGACCAGAGGATCGCTCGCACAACAACTGCAAGGGGCAAAGAACTCACCACGACCACCGGGACATGAATGCCGACTCGTATCACGCATGT